ATATATATATATATATATATATATATATATAAAATAATTCAACTAATAATTACTTTAGCGAGTAATTGAACGTATGAAAACTAATTAAAAAATCAAGGTAAAAATTATTTTGGCCATCGCTAAAAATAATTAATAGTACCACATCTATCGTTGAAGATTTAAAGAATAAAAGAACGGAATTTATTTTTCATTAAATTTTTCCTCCTAAAAAAAAACTGATTTTTCTAATTTTAAGATCGATTAATTATGAAAAATGATTGATTATCGTAGTAATAACATACGAATTACATCTAGATTTAAATCTTTGTCCTTTTAATCCTTTCAATTCTAATTTAATAGACGCAGTTTATTTTTAATTCGCGCCAGATTGGTAAACGGTTTATTTTTAATTCGCGCCAGATTGGAAATCCCGACGAATTGCATTAAATCTTCAAACAGGAGCATCAGCATGTAATTTACAAGAGACTGCAACGACCCTAATGGTCCACTTAAGAGAGTCAATTAATAAGAATAATTAAAAATCACTCTTTCTCTCTCTCTCTTCAATTCTCTATCTCGCAACAAAACCATCGCGAAACACTTATAAATTGCCCCGTCTCAATCTATCAGATGATCTAAACAGAACCGATTACGAGGCAAAGGTCAGGGGGAACTGGTACGCGGAAGAAGGAAGTGGGAATAGAGAACCACAGAGGAGACCAACAGGGAAACGGGAGATCCTGGTCCGGTAACAGGCCGAAGTGAAAAAGAAAGAAAAAGCAAAAGAAGAAGAGAAAAAGGAAGATACGACACGGTGGAATGATAAATTCGCGTTCACGCGTGTTTTTTTGTGCCTGGCCCGGAGCGGCCCCGCTCCTGCTTCGATCTTAATCGACGATCTTACGTCACGGATGCAAAGTTACAACCGGTTTCAGACAGCGAGCCAACCTTACGAACTATGTTTACACGTAACGTGTGTCAGCCCTGTCTCTCCTTCTTTTTTCCCCTCCCCCTTTTTTTCTTTCCTTCTTTCTTCGGAGTGACGAAGGTCTTCTAGTCGAAGGTGTCGGACAGGTTTGGATATTGCTTGAATGAAATACCTGGGGGAACGATTATGCATACGGCTTGCGAGGAACTATCGTGCAAAGTAAGCAAAGTTAAAATAACTAGGCTGCGGATTTTCGCGAAACATCCATGGTATGACACTTCTCTGGGCAATTTTCTATCAAGCTTCAATTCTTTTATCTTCGTAAAAATATAAAACTGAATAATAGTAATAATCTTCGAAATAATTAAATGTACAGTAATACCTTCATTCTTTATTCAGATTCAGACAAGCTGATATTTGGCTGACTGGTTGGATAGATTTTGGCATTGTTTGAATAATTTTTACGCACTTATGAGAAATTTCAATTGCACAGGATGATTGCAAAAATATGATATCCAAAGTATGTTGGTGTTGAACAGGACTAAACATTATTTGAAAATTCAAGTGCAAAGTTACACAAAAAAACACTCAACTTATAATACACTATTCATTAATTATTCAATAGATAAACGTTCCATTTTTTCAATCTGTCTAAATATATAAATACATGTATTTAAATGCATCATCTTACTTCACACGATGTTATTTTGAAATGATGTTCGATCAAATTAATTAACGTTGAGCTTAATGAATTAATTTGTTTTTGAGATTAAATAATAATTCGCTCTTACAGAATTTATATCCATATTTATTCTCTGCTTGACAGTCACCGATTTTAAAGATTCTAAAGCTTCGCACAGAGCATTGAACAGCGCAACTTTGATAAGAGAACTTACAATAAGCGAACAGCAAACTCATTAAGAAGAAGAAAACTCCCAGCCTCGCGAGAGGCGAGCATGAGCAATTTTCCAAATTTCCAAAGCACCTCTCGACCAAGCCCAACCATAACCAACAACAGTTCACCGGGCGCTGAAAACTGCGTGACCCACACACTGCCTGTGCACGCATCCTCGAACCGAAACGAGACGAAATTCTGTTCGACGAGGAACAAAAAGAGAAGGAAACGAGCGAAAAAAAGGAGGAGAAAAAAGAAGAAAAAAAGAAATGATAAAAACCGGAACGTGGAAAAAAAAAGGAGACAGGGGGAAGTTCCATCCTCCGTGTCGTCGTTCACCTCTGTTATTTCAATATCCGTGAATGGCCGCACTATCGAATATTGAGTGCCAATATTTGCGCGCTCCTCGGTCCACGTTTATTCTATGTCCAAAATGTTTTTTCGTTCGACGGTGGGAACGAAACGGATAAGAACGAGAGAAAGAGCGAGAGAGAGAGAGAGAGAGAGAGACGAGGAAACACGCATAATTAAATCGTGGCGCGGGGCATACGTTCACGGACGATTAAGAGATCCAATTAGAAGGGAAGAAGGCAAAAGCGACAACTCACCTTTCTGCAGTTGGCCGTGGTCCGCGTTCATTTTCGCCTGTAACAGAAAGTGCTGCGCTTCACTAAGTAGAATTAGCACGGCGGGCCGTGAAAATGCCGACCGTTCTACTAAAATATGTGCAAGCGGTTGGCTCACCTCGTAACCTTGTTTCGCGCCTCGTCCGCCGCCCCAATAGTCGCTCTCCTTGTCGTGGGGGTTGCATTGCTGCGACAGAAAGAACAGAGAGATATCCATTAGTTTTATATCTCGCACGAATGTTCGAGCAAGCGTTCGATAGCGTCTCTTTTTTTTTTCGCGTACTCCGATTTATCCTTTTACCTTTGTTCTTTTATTACTATTATTATTCGCTTCGAGGGTTCAGGTGGATCGTTTGTACGACGTGTAAACCACTGATTTCGGTGATTTGGAAATTTTGTACAATTGTAAAATGTAAGTATAGAATGGCACGGAAAGACTGAATGATAATTAAATAAAAATAACTTTCACAAACACATGTTTTTTTTTCTTTTAATTTTCTATTATTTTATTTGGAAATGTAATTAATGGATCTTTCCCAGTATCGTGTGTCAGAGAAACTAAGAAAAAGAATATAAAAAAAGACTGAAAACAAGTTATGAGTTTTTCAAACTCTTCAGTTTTTCAGTGGCCACCTTATATAATTTGAATCATCTTGCTCCAAACTCGAGATAGTTCTTTTCTCGCTTTCGGTTAATCGTAATGTTTCGCGACACGTTTCACGATCGAGAATATATTTAACGCGTAAATTGAGGCTATAATATGGACGATGTTATAATTCGCAACGCACAGATGTTACAACGTGAACGTTTCACATTTAACTGCCTTAGATTTGTTGTTCTTACTCAAACACTTTCGCTGCCTTCCTCGATCGTCCCGCCCATTTTTCACATAAACAGACTCAATTCTTGGAACGCAATTTCGCATAAGCTAATGCCTCGAAACTGAACAACCACGGTTTTTGCAAACCATGATATTGTGTACCAGATAATCTGTACAGATCTACGTGCGTACAAACGTCACAATATTCTAATATTATAATACTTGTTTTCGTAAAATAAAATCGAATTCTAATTTCTCTATTTAATTACTGTTAACATATTATTCACGATAGATGACAGAAAACTGGAGTACAAGTCGACCAAAAAGAAAAATGACCTAAAAAAAAAAAGTTTTATTAACACGTTAATTTTAAAGGAACAAGAGAGAAAA